CTAAACTACATTTTTCAGTGTTTGAACTTACTGAAGTGAATTTCATAATTTGACTGAGACCAATTCCTTTCTTTTAAGATTTTCTCGAAATCTCTCAATCTTATTAACGTTATTAATGCTTATAGTTATAGTTATAGAAATATAGTTACTCTGACAGTCAGAGGCTTCACTAGACATGCTGAAATATAAGTCTCTACTCTGAACTGAGATCTTTTAAATTCAATCAGTGTTAAGTGTCTGAAAAAATTGGGGTGACGGGTATATGATATTAATTACTACAAAAGTTTTTGTATTTGCCAAGGAATGAAAAACCAGATGATATTGTTTTTGCTGACGTCTCACTATTTAGTGCTGCTAACAGCTTCATCGAAGTATCTATCAAATTCTAATACTTTGATAAAGCTATTAGCATTAAACAGCACGAAAAACGCCGTCTCGATTTTTCATTTATTGGCAACTACAAGATTTTTATAATAATCATACGATGCCACTCACAAAGACGACTTTTTTATAGTTTTTCGTAAAAAGCAATGCAAGAGAAGGAGGATTTAGAAAAACATTCTCTGTTCATCCAACAAATGTTTTACTATTACATAGCTGATCAGGAAGTGTTTTTTAACATTCTGAAATATTTACTAGTGAGTAAGTTATGTAATAATAATAATAATGATTTACTTTATTCCAAAAACAGTACTTGTGATACAGAATGGAATTTTCAGCATTAATCACAATATTGCATCTAATTTCCTCAAATTATAAATAAAATTAATCACACAGAAAATTTTCCACATTTACAATAGAGGTAGTGTCAAAAATATGCAGCATATAAAATGGAAATAGCAATAATAATGATAACAGCTAGGGTAATAATAATAAGAATACAAGTGAAAATTGCCGTTGGCTTGTGCCACACAGTATTGTCAATGTGATATAGAAATCCTAACATGTTTAGAAATATTGAATATAATGTTCTTTCTACATGATATGGTGAAGGAAAAAACATAGATTACAGCCGTCATGGAGATAAGTTGGTGTTTGCAATTATGAGAGTAAAACAGAGAATTAACAGGACCATAAATATAATAGAAATAATAAAAGTAAAACTTGAATGTATGTAAGGATGGATGGAGGAAATTGTTTATTTACTAGATGAAAGAAGGTTAGTTAATTCTTGCCTGACACTATTTTCATCACATAAAATACATGCCAAGTATGGTATCATAGACTTCTTATACTTAGACGTGCGAGCATACAGTTTTCTGAAGTTACTTCTTGTTCTACCTGAGGAGATGCAAGGTGAAAGCTGAGGGTAAAGCGTATGCTCCAAGTCAGACAAAATCCCTTTAGCAAATTTATTGCACGAAGTCAAATGCCTATCGACAACGACGTTAACTATGTGGTCCACTGGGACACCACTCACTCTACAGACAGTCTTCAGTATTCTACGAATTGTGACATAGTCTTTTTTAAGCAAACCAGGAAAGAATAAGGGTGAGCAATAAAGAAGAATAGGTAGGATGCAAGAGTTTACGAACTGTAGGATGAGGGGTTGAGTTATACCCGAGTGTCTTAACTTCCTAATGTAAAATGTCAAGCGGAATATTTTACTGGAGATTTCTAAGACATGGGAAGACCAGGAGAGATCAGAAGAGAGAATGAGTCCAAGATAATTAATTTCTGATTTGATTCCTATATCATTGTCGTCAATTTTACAAGTGTCATGTCTGTCTGTCTGTCTGTTTTCGACATAGAACTTTGCACAAATGTGCGGAAGTTCAAGTCGCCACATTCCGTGTAGCACGCGAAGCAAGAGAAGAAAGTACAAGAAAAGCATGATAGAAACAGTGAGCAGAGGTGTGAGACAAAGGAGTAATAAAGAAATACAAAACAGTTTCATTGAAGATCATAAGTCACAGGGAGTGGATGCATCTGCGCCACTGAGAACGGTTTCAAGCCATGTCACCAATTGTTTCCAACCATAGATTTTTACCGTCTCGAGGACCCCAGCCTGGAAGTCTACACCTTTCTACGTGGCTTAGACCAACTGTTGTGGATTTCATTGACTAGTGCCAAGTTTTTGTTTGACCGCCGCTAGCTTTTTTCCAGCCTGACCCTATATCCGCTAACATTGCTCGTCGAGGGAGGCGATAGCTTGGCATACGTAACACATGTCCTAACCATCTCAGTCTTCGTAGCTTCACGACTTCGTCGATTGATTTCCCCTGTTTACCTAGAACTCTACGCCTAACCTCATGTTGCTCACCTTATTATGCCACTTTACACGGGAAATAGAACGCAGGCACCTATGATCAAAGACAGCTAGTCTTTTCATGTCTTCCACTCTCAGTGGCCAGGTCTCACAACCATAAAGGAGGACGGAGCGGACTGATGAGCAGTACACCCGCCCTTTGGTCGATAGTCGAACATCTCGTCTACGCCAGAGTCGGCGTAAACTAACAAATGCGAAACGAGCCCCTTGTATTCGTGCTGAGATTTCGTCAGAGATCAACCCGTTGCAGCTGATGGTACTTCCCAAATAAGTGAAGCGGTCAACGTGCTCTACCACTTCACTTCCTATTTTTAAACTAGGCGTCGATGTAGTCCAGTCCTGTAACATCATCTTGCATTTGGCGGGAGCGAATCGCATGCCAAACATTCGTAGATTGCGGCTCAAGGTGTTTAGAAGACTCTGCATTTCGTCAGCGTCTTCGCCTAGAAGGACTATATCGTCTGCATATTCCAAGTCAACGAGATTATTCCCGGTAGCAAGTCAATCCCTGAGTCGCTGAAGTCACCTAGGGTTAAGTCCATTAACACATCTATGATGAAGTTGAATAGAAAAGGAGATAATGGGCATCCTTGACGGACACCACTGGTCGTCATCAGTTCAGATGACAGCTCGCCGTAAGCCCTCACCTGGCTGTATGAGTACGAGTAGAGTGCCTTAATCAGTGCAATATATTTTCTTGGAATTCCCTTTACAGCCAAGCATCTCCAGAGAACTTCCCGATCGACAGAGTCGAATGCTGCCTTTAGGTCAAGAAATATAATGACTGTTGGACGCCGGTAGGAATGCCTATGTTCTAGAATCTGTCGGAGGGTGAAGATATGATCAATACACCCTCTTCCTGGTCTAAAGCCTGCCTGGCTCTCTCGTGTTTGTGAGAATCGATGACTTCTTTTAACTGTCGTTTACATCTTAAGCTGAAATCAACAGTTTGACACTTAGAAGGATTCAGTTTAAGACCGTTAGACTCAGACCATTTGCTGACTTCCGATAGAAAGCTATTTGTTTTAGTACAATCTAGCTGGGAGTTAACAGCCATTGAAACCGTTAAATCATCAGCGTACTTCACAAAGTTTATTTCATCAGAGTGAGGCAAGTCGTGCAAGAAGAAAGAAAAAAAAAAGAGAAGGAACAGCACCTTGAGGGACACCAGCTTCAGTAGGCAATGAAGTGGAGGACTTCCCTTTATATACGGTGTACTGCTTTCTATCTGAGAAATAGGAATGCAACCAGTTAACAGCCCAACATTCTGTTTGACTAGCAGCAAGTTTATTTAATAAGATGTCCCTAGGGACCAAGTCGAAAGCAGATGTATAGTCTAGGAAGGCGCAACAAACAAATTTAGCCCCCTTGTCTAGACTGGAAACAATGTTATGATATAAGACGGCAGCTGCATCTAAAGTGCTTCTACTGTGCTTATAGGCAAATTGTTTAGGGTCATTAAAGGATTTAAGCGAAGGTTCAAGACTAAGTAAAAGTAATTTCTCCATAGTTTTCAAAAAAGGAGACGTAATAGCAGTGGGTCTAAATTTGACACATGCTCCAGTAGAAGATTTAGGTATGGGTACAACTTTAATGTCCTTCCAAACGGCAGGCACAATATTATCGGAAAAAGATTTGTTAAATAGATCAGTGAGAGGGTGACACAGAATATCAGAACATTTTTTAAACATAATACTATGTACATAATCGGGACCTAAGCTCTGGGAAGGGTTTAGAGACTTGAGGCACTTTTGAACATCATTTGTGTTAAAACCTGGAAAGGGGCTATTATTAACACAAGTGATGCTGGGAAGCATGGCATTTGAGGGAGAGTAAATAAAAGATTTGTTAAGAGTACATACATCAAAAGAATATGGAATATTGTTTATCTGCTTACCACCAGTGATTTCCTTAAATAGTTTCCACATATTAGAAGGATTTTTGCAGGACTTGAATTTCTGGTTATATATTTTTTTTATAAAAAAAAAAATAAATAAAAAATTTTACAGTTATACAGTCAATATTGTCATTTGAGAATTTGAAGCAGACGTTGTTGGCAGTAGACCACTGAGAATTAATAAACGTGGCAACACCACCACCTCTCTTCTTCTTCGAGCTGCATCGGTCTTGTCTGTAGATTGTGAACCCATTTAAGGAGACTAAATTGTCGTCATATGAATCATGGAGCCAAGTCTCTTGAAGAGTGATTACACCAGTATTACAATATACATTTGAGTATAATAGAGAATGCAAGTAGTTAATCTTGTTCGATAATGACCTTCAATTTGTGCTCATAATCACAGTAACAGTCATCTGATGCATTGGAGTACACTTTAATGATCTCTGCCAACCTCCATGATGCTTTTTCTTAACGTTATTATATACTCGTAAATCAACGGGTTGAAGACATTTTAAATAATCGCGAGAGTAAGTAATGCGGCTTGGATACATAATTGAATGGTTAAAACAAAATAAATCCGAGGAAATAGATGCAATATGTAGGATGGAAATTTCGGAGCCCAAGATTTAAGCAGGCCGCCAAATATTATGTAGATGGGCAAACATATAATGAACATTAAACTGAAGTAGTATTGACAGGGATGAAACAGTAGCTTTGACAACAATTCAGCCAAAATCAAATGCGTACTAGTATCATCCTGTAAAACACTGTTAATCAATTAAAAAGCTCAAATGTAACAACAGTATGAATTGCTGCCTTTCTCTTACTCAGGAATGGTTCAGTCTTTTGGAGGATTTGTTGCTCGAATTGGTGTACTAATTAGTCTGACTGCCTTACCAGCTTTATATGCTGCTACCGTGACAGTATTTCCTCAGACAGTATTCATTGTTGTCAGTGCGATGACAGTGGTTGCAATTATATTTGACTTGTAAGTTATCACTAAGAATGCCTTAATTTTATGTTGTTAAAATTTGTGACTTTAAATATGTTTTCGCTTAGCTGCTAATTGGTTTCAACAGGACTGAGGATTTCAATAGACCTTTACTTAGGTGAAATCAGAATTGAATGTTAGGCGTGCCTTTCACGCCTCACGCCACTTCCTATCTGAAGAAATAATTAAAAATGAATAATTTTCTGTTACTTTCGATTACTTATACAATATTTCTGTTTTTAAGTCACATTACTTTACTTCTAAAGCTGATATGATCAATGAAGTGCTCGACTGCACTTAGTTCAGAGAGCAAAACCAGTTCAAATCCCCTAAATTCAGGTAATTTCCTTGGGCTATTTGGTAGTAGTTCCATACGTACCGAATACGGTGGTCTGAATATTTCGGTAAATTTTCACCACAAACTGTGTAATCTTAAGATGACAAACCTAATATTATCTCAGATTATTTCAATATATATATATTTCATAGTGCAATATCTTAAGTACGATAGTTACTATAACGCCATATGGCTCTGTTTAAGTAAGAACAAAACATGTGAATAAGTAGTGAGTTTATATCAAGCTTATTCTCCGCAAATCTGATTCATTTTCGGAAATCGTAATAATTGTTCAGGTTTTAAGAATACAACCACTAGAAAGACAACTGGTAGACTTTTTCGAAAAAGAATATGAATATATGGAATTTATAGACGATGGCAGTAGCTACTATTACGTTGAAGGTGAATCCAGAAAACAGAAGTTTATAAAAATACGTTTATAGACTATATTTATATATATATATATATATATACCCACTGATTTATGATCAGTTCGACTTATTCAGGGCATTTGCCTCCAGAAGTAATTAGTTCATTAACTGGATTCACATTTACCATTCGTTGAGATTCTACTGAAAACTGTTCACTTAATGATTATGATGACTTCTTCATCAGCATTCAGAGAATAATCAGTTTCAGACAAAATAATTTTCAATAACTTATAGTTTCTAGTACTTAATTGATATTTTGTCTTTTTTCTTTTCAAGGTTGATCCTGGTATTTCTTAGATCAAAGAAAAATC